CCCCAAAACCCCAAAACCCCAAAACCCCAAAACCCCAAAACCCCTTTAAACAAAGCTAATATTGAAAGCTCATACAATTTTCATTCACCAAAGGTTTATCTTACCATGCAAAATCATTGCAGTAAGGGTGTTCTGCTCCATTTTCCTCTTCTTCAGGGCTTTCTCTAATAATCCCTCCAACCGTTCTGGATGAGCTCCTAGTAGCAGTATAGCGAGTGGGAAGTCTTCCTTCATAATTATCTTTTCTGCTTCTTGCTCTACTTCCTGAAAAGGTATGGTATCAAATTCTTTACCAAAAATACCAGATATTTTAAAGAAATTTAGCAATTTAAGGTGTCAACATACCTGTACGACTGTGATGAGATCTAGGAACTGGCCGCTTCTTGTACCTGAAATAGTTAGTAAGGAATATAGGGAAACAAAGTAATAAATCAGACTACTAACCTCCTTTTTGACTTTGATAACCTAGCCTTGTCCGTTAATCTTGGAGTCACCGAGTTAATTGTAATAATCGTTCTTGGAATTCTCTGCTTGTTGTTCAAAATAATACTCTTACGTAGCCTGGCAGGACCTCTATTAGTGTAGTCTATAGAGTTTGAGATTAAGATATGTACCAATAGAAGTTTGCTTGATTCTGAAGTCTCTCACCATTCTTTTATTTACCCTTCAGATGAGGTATTATGGAAAGACTTCTAAACTTTTGCTGATTTTTACCTAATAGTTAGCAAAAAGTCTTACCCCGTCCTTTTCTCACTTTTGGAGTTGAAATATCAAGAGATTGTCTTAGAGAAGTAATCCTATGAGTCCTCTTAATCTGTTTTGGATTCAATTCCTCTAAAGCTAGTTATTTGATATTGTGTTACCTTTAGAGACATCTGGGGAAATTCGTTTCATATCCTCAATTTCTTTGTCATTAACCTAAATGATCAAATTAATAAACTACTTCGACCCCAGCTTTCTTAAGTTTGTATGTATAGTATTGCAACTTATCTGTGACAAGGCTAAGCTTTTCCTCAAACTGTTCAAATCACGATTTTTTTATGACAGCTTCTTGAGTTGCCTGATTAAATTGAGTGTTCTTGCTAAGCTCATCCATAATTCTCTTTTTAAGTCTTTCCATCATACTCTTGTATTTAATATACCTAGTCTGGTCAGTACAAGATGATGAAGGAATGAAAAGTCTAGTGATTAAAATTCATGTAATTTCTGTAACTTCTTACCGAGAATAAATGTATTGAAAGTCATTTGATTTATTAAAAGCTGAACCAAGCCCAGTCTTCTTTGGCTCAGTCAAGTTAACCTTCCTTATCCTGTTCAGATGGCTATTTGAAAAGCGTAAGTTTCCTTTGTGCTCCTCTTTCATTAGAAATGGGCTCTTGGAGACTTCAAAAACTTTGTTTTCAGGTTTGACCTGAAGGTTGAAGAAGCTAGGGCTAGCATCAGAGATAGTCACCTGACTAGAATCTCCAATGGCTTCAAAAGTAGGAGTTTTGTATAAAGCATTCTCTATGTCCCCCACTGGCAGTGCAGAAGGAAGGTTAGCTACTCCAGTTTCCATCTTTTTCAATTATTGTACAACAAAACGGGGTTTTGGGGTTTTGGGGTTTTGGGGTTTTGGGG